TTCTGCGAAATGATACCCAAGTAGCACGATATATCAACCAGATGTCACGGTGATATCACCGGGGAATGTCACCGTGACATCAGGAAAATGTCAAAATGTCCGCCTTACGGTGATATCACACGGTGACATCGAGGTGATATCATGGTGACATCAAGGTGATATCACAGTCATATCACGGTGATATCATGGTGATATCACCGTGATATCATGTTGATATTTTACAGGGACTTAAAATTTTTAATAATTTAGAAAATAATAATAAATAAAAAAAATAATAAAAATAATAAAAAAAATAGTAAAAAATAATAATTTTTAAAAAATTTTAAATCCCTGTAAAATATCAACATGATATCACGGTGATATCACCATGATATCACCGTGATATGACTGTGATATCACCTTGATGTCACCATGATATCACCACGATGTCACCGTGTGATATCACCGTAAGGCGGACATTTTGACATTTTCCTGATGTCACGGTGACATTCCCCGGTGATATCACCGTAACATCTGGTTGATATATCGTGCTACTTGGGTAGGTTCCCAAAATAGAATAAGGCAAAAGAAAATTTTTTTATTGAATATTTATTTATTATTAATATTATTATTTGAATATAACTTGCCTTACCTTGTAAGCTTACCACAACCTTACCTCAACCTTACAACTTAATAATAACCTTACCACAGCCTTTACTCATAAGCTTACCTCGACCTTACCGTGTAAGCTTACCTCGACCCTACCATGTAAGCTTACCTCGACCCTACCATGTAAGCTTACCTCGACCCTACCATGTAAGCTTACCTCGACCTTACCGTGTAAGCTTACCTCGACCTTACCGTGTAAGCTTACCTCGACCCTACCATGTAAGCTTACCTCGACCCTACCATGTAAGCTTACTGTAAGGCGGACATTTTAGGTTTACTGTAAGTCTACTATGGGCTTACGATGTTACCTTACAAACCTTACATGTAAGCCTGCTGTAGGCCTGGTGTAAGATGTTGTGCTGTGTGGGCTAAGAGGCACGCACGAGTGGGTCGATTCAATCGTGCCTTGATATGTACAGCCCAACCTCTTTATAAACTACCTCTTTATAAGCTTCAAGGTCAGCTGAGTTTTCGACAAGTCCTCCACTCTGAGCCGAAGAAAATATAAGGCGTTTTCCAGATTCTCGCTATGAGCGCTTGCAGTTAGCACGAAAAGGTTCTCAACCTATTTATAAAAGTATAGTTTATTTTCAGTCATTAAAACATTAAATTTAAATTAAAATTAACATTAAACATTTAATTTCATCATTTTAAAATCTCAACATTTCAACATTTAACATTAAACATTAAATTTCATTTGTTAAAATATTGCAATTAAGAAGTGCACGTAAAACAGGCTACATTTTTTCATGTTTATAACCAAAACAGGTGTGCTTGTTCTTTTGTTTTTAGAAACTAGTTTTGTTTACAACTTTGTACTGAGTAAACGACTGCATTCAGACGGCTCTGGCAGTGCTAAGAATCAAATGGCTTAGCACGAGTTTCGATAAAATTGGCTCCGTACAATGTTGTAAACAAAACAAGTTTCTAAAAAACGACAGAACAATCACACCGGTTTTGGTCAAAAACATGAAAAACGGTAGCCTGTTTCACGTGCACCTCTTAATTGCAATGTTTTATTAACCTATGAAATTTAATGTTTAATATTAAATGTTGAAATTAAATGTTTAATGATAGTTTTAATTTAAATTTAATGTTTTATACAATTAAACTAAACTATACTTTTATAAACAGGTTGAGAACCTTTTCGTGCTAACTGAGCGCTCATGCTGATTCTACACTCACCTAAAACTGCGCGAGCAGTCCGCACTTGGGTTACGTTTTATATATATATAGATATAGTTGAATATGGAAAGCGTGACGGAAAAACGGACCGCTCGCTTAGTTTTCGGTGAGTGTAGAATCAGCATAAGGCCTTTCTTACGGAAGCCTGTACGGCTCACGAGCGTCTCGGACGCAAGTGGCGGTGTTTCGTACCACAAGTGGCACGAAGTCCGTCCAACTTGTGGCAAGTTCGTTAGTTCGTGCCACTTGTTGGACAGGCTCCGTGCCACTTGTGGAAAGTGGATTTTTTGAAGGGTCATTCACAAATATGACAATTCCGTTGAATCCTGTTACTATCTATTTTGTCAGTGCTTTTCATTTCAATTTCATGTGAAGAAGAAGAAATGAATTTTATAAGATATTAGTAATATTAGCATATTAGTAAATGTCGTCGAACAAACTTTTTATAGTTCACACATAAATACTCCTTCCAAACGTAAATATACATATTAATAAACTACGGATTCCACTAAGAATTAAGCGGAAGTTTTTTCTTAGTTTTTTTAATTTTTCTTAGTTTAGAATAAAAATAAGATTTTTTGGTTATGTTGTCATTTTTTAATTTAAAATACATGAAGAGGATTTTATTTTTTAAAATTAAAAGTACATTTTTATGAATATTTAAGAGTAATAAAGATGTCAATATCATTTGTTTACACTGAAATGTAATCTTTTACATATATTTTCAATTAAAAAATAACAAATTCATTTTTATTCAAAAACATTAAACGGACTTGCCCGGATGAAATTATACTTGAAATGAAAAGCACTGACGAAATAGACGGCAACAGAATCCAACGGAATTGTCATTTTTGTGAATGACCCTTCAAAAAATCCACTTTCCACAAGTGGCACGGAGTCTGTCCAACAAGTGGCACGAACTAACGAACTTGCCACAAGTTGGACGGACTTCGTGCCACTTGTGGTACGAAACACCGCCACTTGCGTCCGAGACGCTCGTGAGCCGTACAGGCTTCCGTACTTTCTCCAATATGTTCCTAAATGTTTGCGTTGCGTAACTGACACGGTGGTTCGCAAGCGCAGTGACACGTAATCAAAGCATTGATACCAATCGCGAACAAAAAGTTTGGTTTATGATTTTAAGACACTGAATTTTTTTAATTATAAATATTAAATAATTAAAATTATTAAAAGCCGTCGAGAAACATTTGAATTAAAAATTGTAAAGTTGGAAAACTTTACATGCTTTACTTTCAATGCTTTGAAGGCCTTTCTCCAATAGGAACCTAAACTTTTGCGTTGCGTGACTGACGCGTTGATTTTAGCATTGGTTGCCAATAGCAACCGACGCAATGCATACGCAACGCAAGAGTTTAGGATCCTATTGGAGAAAGGCCTTGATGGCGTCACTGCGCTTGCGGACCAACGCGTCAGTCACGCCTTTACGTTTGTCTTCTGCTAATGCTGATTCAAGGCCTTTCTCCAATATGAAGGCCTTTCTCCAATAGGAACCTAAACTTTTGCGTTGCGTAACTGACGCGTTGATTTTAGCATTGGTTGCCAATAGCAACCGACGCAATGCATACGCAACGCAAGAGTTTAGGATCCTATTGGAGAAAGGCCTTGATCCTAAACTCTTGCGTTGCGTGACTGACGCGTTGATTTTAGCATAGGTTGCCAATAGCAACCGACGCAACGCATACGCAACGCAAGAGTTTAGGATCTTATTGGAGAAACGCCTTTATACACTCACCGAAAACTGAGCGAGCGGTCCGTTTCCGTCACGCTTCCCATATTCAACTATATCTATATATATGAAAAACGTAACGCAAATGCGGACCGCTCGCGCAGTTTTAGGTGAGTGTAGAATAAGCATCAAGGCCTGAGCAGAATAGAAACGTAACCGCAAACGCAACCGGAATAATGAGTTGGAGAAGGACAAACAATACGTCTATCCTTCTCTAACTCATTCTCCGGTTGCGTTTGCGATTACGATTTCGGTTACGTTTTTCTTCTGCTCAGGCCTTGAAGGCCTTTCTCCAATAGGAACCTAAACTTTTGCGTTGCGTGACTGACGCGTTGATTTTAGCATTGGTTGCCAATAGCAACCGACGCAATGCATACGCAACGCAAAAGTTTAGGATCCTATTGGAGAAAGGCCTTGATGGCGTCACTGCGCTTGCGGACCAACGCGTCAGTCACGCCTTTACGTTTGTCTTCTGCTAATGCTGATTCAAGGCCTTTCTCCAATATGAAGGCCTTTCTCCAATAGGAACCTAAACTTTTGCGTTGCGTAACTGACGCGTTGATTTTAGCATTGGTTGCCAATAGCAACCGACGCAATGCATACGCAACGCAAGAGTTTAGGATCCTATTGGAGAAAGGCCTTGATCCTAAACTCTTGCGTTGCGTGACTGACGCGTTGATTTTAGCATAGGTTGCCAATAGCAACCGACGCAACGCATACGCAACGCAAGAGTTTAGGATCTTATTGGAGAAACGCCTTTATACACTCACCGAAAACTGAGCGAGCGGTCCGTTTCCGTCACGCTTCCCATATTCAACTATATCTATATATATGAAAAACGTAACGCAAATGCGGACCGCTCGCGCAGTTTTAGGTGAGTGTAGAATAAGCATCAAGGCCTGAGCAGAATAGAAACGTAACCGCAAACGCAACCGGAATAATGAGTTGGAGAAGGACAAACAATACGTCTATCCTTCTCTAACTCATTCTCCGGTTGCGTTTGCGATTACGATTTCGGTTACGTTTTTCTTCTGCTCAGGCCTTGAAGGCCTTTCTCCAATAGGAACCTAAACTTTTGCGTTGCGTGACTGACGCGTTGATTTTAGCATTGGTTGCCAATAGCAACCGACGCAATGCATACGCAACGCAAAAGTTTAGGATCCTATTGGAGAAAGCCCTTGAAGGGCTTTCTCCAATAGGATCCTAAACTTTTGCGTTGCGTATGCATTGCGTCGGTTGCTATTGGCAACCAATGCTAAAATCAACGCGTCAGTCACGCAACGCAAAAGTTTAGGTTCCTATTGGAGAAAGGCCTTGAGGCTTTATTGTGCGTTTGCCAAAATAGAAGAATCCAGAAAAACTATCTCTATCCTTTTTTTAAAATTTGTGACAATGGAAAAGTACCTTATTTAAAGTATGAACATAACCTTATTAAATATGGCAATTTTACAGATTTTGATAGAAATACAAATTATACATGGATAATTCCCATAAAGATTTTTTGCAGTTTGAAGATGGTCCATTAAATTTTTCTGGATAGGTTATGTGTATCTATTTTTTTCTCAAAACTTATCCAGATCATACATCTAAAGTACAAATGTTGTTTTGCCACGTGGTTTAAATCGAAATGGATCAATTTACTCTTTTATCTAATTATTTAAATAGTTACGAAGGTCGTGATAAATTTCTAAGATTTTTTTCGTACTCTACGAAATTTTTGTCTGGAATTACTTATGGAACAACAACTAAAAATTTTAAAACTATTTCGAGTGAAATGAGCAATTGTAGAGTAGTATTAAGATTGATGGATGACGTTCCAGCTTGGCATGATGCTTTGTCACACGAATGGATTAGAAAGGTTCTATAGTTATGTGATTACTACAAATATACTATGACATACCTAATGAGGTTACCAGATTTTCTGTAATATGTAGTGTTTGGTTGTTTGTTTAAAGTCACTTAAATAATAAAAAAAAGGTTACCAGATCTAGGCTAACCGCCTTTTCAAGTTTGCGCGGAAAATTTATACGCGGTACGTGTCTATACTGAAGATTCCCACACAGGTTTCCAGGTCAAAATTTTGATTAGATGATTTGTAAAGTTGACACAAATTTTAGTCCTATTGGATGCACATTCAAATACAAAATATTCTTAATTTATTTAAGCAATTGTAAGATCTGGAGGGCGTATAAGTTTTAAGACTTAGTGTAACCTCTGTACTTTAACAACCTGTAGTTTATTTAAAACAAACCAAAAAAATTTCTTAAAATTTAATTTTTTTGGTTCTTTCACCAGTTTTTCTTTAAATTAATTTTTAACTTTGAAAAAAGAAAATAATAGAAATGTGTTTTTTCTGAAAAGGACAGTTTCTTAAAAATTTTCATAAAGTTCAGGTATTTTTCTAAAATAATGTAAAGGATAAAAGTGGGACTAGCATTTTTAAGTGGTCAAATTAATTAATTTCTCTTCAAGCCTAATACAGACTCTAAAACCTTCTGTTAAATGCAGAAAACGTTTAAAGAACATATTAATAAAATTTTATTCAATTATAGCAGTATCTATATCATCCCAGAAATATTTTCTAAAAGTTTAAATTTATTCAGAGCATACATCAGAAAAATTGAAGCACTGTAACACCGAAATTTTTCAAACTTGGTTTTTTGATGTATCTTTATGTTTTTTGACCTCCGGAATCCAAAAATCACATTTTTTAAAAATGTTCCACGTGTGTGTATATTTAAATATACACTACATTTTCTTAAATTTCTCGAGTACAATAAGAGCTAAAGGAATAAATTTTTTTTTAATTGTAGGTCTCGCTGGCGGACAAATAATGAGAGTATACTTTGAGCCATATTAATACAGATTAACTATTGTTTTTCTGAATTTTAAAATTTTTGAAAAATCGTTTTTTGCCCCTAACTTTAAAAAAATGTTAGGACACCTATAAATATTATTCTTTAACCCATTAACGCCCAAAAACTGAAAATTCTTTGTACACATTCAGGTTACGTTATTTTAAATAAATCGGTCAACATTTTCTACGAGAGGTACATTTCCTATAGGTCTTGAGTGTGCTCTTTCCGATTCCGGTATCAAAAATTAATTTCGTCTAAGCCGAAATTAAATATGGCGGTTTAAATATCAAAAAACACAAAAAAAGTTTCATTTTTTTCAGTTTGACATTTTTTTTCAATCGGAAAAAATGTAAGAATAAAATTAAATTGTCAACCATAGGTGCATAAAAGTTGTGTACTTTCGAGAAACGTAAAGTAGAATAAAAAATTTCAAGATGGCGGACCAAATATGGCGTCAAAATCATTGTAAAATGTGAAAATTTTGTGCAATATTGGTCAAATTGACAAAATGTAACTGGATTTGCCTGAATTTTGTTACTCGGGGGTTTTTGGGGTCGCTGATTAAGAATCTGAAGTCGGTTTTCAAAAATGCAAAATGGCCGATCCAATATGGCGGATGAAAAATTTAAAAATGCATTCATTTGGTCTTAATTTTCATACTCGGGGGTTTTCCGGGTTGCTGATTACGAATTTGAACTTCATTTTTAAAAATTAAAAATGGCGGATCCAATATGGCGGATGAAAATTTTAAAAATGCATTCAATTGGTCTGAATTTTCATACTCGAAGGTTTTCGGGGGGTTGCTGATTACGAATTTGAACTTCATTTTTAAAAATTCTAAATGGCGGATCCAATATGGCGGATAAAAATTTTAAAAATGTATTTATTTGGTCTAAATTTTTATACTCGGGGGTTTTCCGGGTTGCTGTTTACGAATTCGAACTTCATTTTTAAAAATTAAAAATGGCGGATCCAATATGGCGGATTTTGAAAAAAATCCATCGTATTTACATGAAATCAGTTTCTCGGGGGTTTTTGGGGTTGTTGATTAAGAATCTGAAGTCGGGTTTGTAAAATACAAAATGGCGGATCCATAACCACTATCTCCATAAAATCCAATGTTTACGCATGCGCACAGAAAAAGTTGATGAATTCGTTGAAAAAGTTTAAAAATTTACTAACTTCGTGCCCATCAAGAAGATAATATCTAGTTCATGAAAGTTTTACTAACTATTTCTTTCTGTGTGTATGTCACTAGAAATATTCAGAAATGTGAATAAATAAATTTTTAATTCAGTATTAATAATTAACTCTAAAATAAACAAATTATATTTAAAAAAATAAAAAAAAATAACATTCTTAATTTTGTCTACCTCCACGTGGTAAGAATTGGTAAACGCCTAAATGGGCTGCTAAAAAAAAACTGAAAACCCCTTCAGGCTATTTGAACGGAGTTTTACATTTTTCATTTGTCATATTGGATCCGCCATATTGTATTTTTGAAAACCGACTTCAGATTATTAATCAGCGACCCCAAAAACCCCCGAGTAACTGATTTCATGTAAATACGATGAATTGTTTTTTTTAGTCCGCCATATTTGATGCGCCATTTAGAATTTTTAAAAATGAAGTTCAAATTCGTAATCAGCAATCCCGAAAACCTTCGAGTATGAAAATTCAGACCAAATGAATGCATTTTTAAAATTTTCATCCGCCATATTGAATCCGCCATTTTGAATTTTTAAAAAAGAAGTTCAAATTCGTAATCTGCAACCCCGAAAACCTCCGAGTATGAAAATTCAGACCAATTGAATGCATTTTTAAAATTTCATCCGCCATATTGGATCGGCCATTTTGCATTTTTGAAAACCGACTTCAGATTCTTAATCAGCGACCCCAAAAACCCCCGAGTAACAAAATTCAGGCAAATCCAGTTACATTTTGTCAATTTGACCAATATTGCACAAAATTTTCACATTTTACAATGATTTTGACGCCATATTTGGTCCGCCATCTTGAAATTTTTTATTCTACTTTACGTTTCTCGAAAGTACACAACTTTTATGCACCTATGGTTGACAATTTAATTTTATTCTTACATTTTTTCCGATTGAAAAAAAATGTCAAACTGAAAAAAATGAAACTTTTTTTGTGTTTTTTGATATTTAAACCGCCATATTTAATTTCGGCTTAGACGAAATTAATTTTTGATACCGGAATCGGAAAGAGCACACTCAAGACCTATAGGAAATGTACCTCTCGTAGAAAATGTTGACCGATTTATTTAAAATAACGTAACCTGAATGTGTACAAAGAATTTTCCGGAATTTTCAGTTTTTGGGCGTTAATGGGTTAATTTTGTAGAGTTTTTTAAGACGCATTTTTTGAGCTATTAGCGAACATTCTACTGATATTTTATCTAAAAGTTATTGAATTTTTAAAAATTAGAGAAAAACGTTTTTTGCCCATACCTTAAAAAAATGTATTGACACCAATAGATATTTATCTCTAGTTTTATAGAGTTTTTCAAAAATATTACGAAGTTATTGATGTTAAAAATCTGTCTCTGCAAACACCCAAAATATACAACTTTACACCGTTTCAAAATTATTATAATACTAAATAAGTTACCATAAATTGATCACAAAAAATCTCCATGGGGAAGCAAAGTGTTCATTTCATGAACACAAAATGTTCATACTTCAACATTTTTCAACTTCAACTTAGCAGCGGTTTTTTATTTTATTTTACCCTTGCATGCATGGAAAGAAAGTTGTAGTTTATCACACTTATTTCCCTGCAAAAATTGAAATGGGGTCCATACCAGTTTTCCAAATCTTTAGTGTGGCTTATGTCATAAAAACTGACTAGTATCCGACATGGCCGTTCTCGATTAATGACTTACTTAGGAAAAATATGAGTCAGTTTTCCTAGAAAGTACCCTATTTTGTAAGATTATTTTTATTTAAAAAAATGACAATTCAACTATTAGAAATAAAATTTTTATAAAATTATAATTGTATTTCTTTTAAACTATTTGTTGAGGCGTATTCGATTTTTTAAAAACGCTTCTGTTACACGCCAAATTAATATTGTGTAACTAATTTTAGGATATTTTCTTAGGATGAAAAGTAATGTGAAATAGATTTTTTAATATTAACAATGATACATTATTTTATTTTAATTGTACAGATTTATCTGTTTATAAACTTCACTTATTGATAATATGTGTGAGAAAAGTTCGCGACGGAGTTTTCAACAAGAAGTTTGGTTTGAATCTAAATATTTGAACTTGTACATTCAATCGCCGTGGTGGAGGAAATTTTGGAAAATATTTGGAAAGGGAAAAAAGGAGTGTTCTTGTCATATTAGGGTGTTTTGATTGGTTTTTAAACATTCTATTGAAATTTGAAGGGAAGGTAAAGTGGAGGTGGGAAGATGCTTGGTAGATGGTTATCTGACTGCACGTAGCATTGGGGTAATTACTACATTTGCTAAAATTTGGTTTTTATGAAGTCTGTCCCTTTTTTAGGATAGGGTCCAACTTATCGTATTGGTACCCGGATTAAGATATAAAATGTGCAAGTTTATTGTCATAATCCCTTGCTTCATTCAAACTTTCTTAACAATACATATTTTCATACTTTCTTACAAATACATATTTTTCAAACTTTCTTAATTTTTACAATCTCCAACTATTAGATTTAAAAACATCTGCAGATCTGTTGTTACGCCGTAACACTATTGGTTTTTCTTTTTTTTTTATCCATTTTTACTTTATAACGAAATTTTAATACCTTTGTTTACATTACGAAATCAGTTGATTTAACTAATGAGAATGCCATCTTCAAGCATTTTCAATAAAGAAAGAATGAAAAAAATGAAAAAGAATGACGAAATTATAACAACCGGTTTGCACTCGGTATATGTATATACTTGAAAAAATTATTCAAACGGACAGAATTTGATAGAATTTCTTTCATGTAGTTATTGAAACTTCAATAAAATTTAATCAAATATTAAAAATCCTTTTCATTTCTTGCTAAAATTGAAAAACAATTCAATATGTATCATAAGTCCGCCCAGTAAAAAAAAGAATTAGGAGTCAGCGAAAAGAATTGGTGGTAACTAAAGCTGAATGCGGTTTGGCGAAAAAACCGAATTGGAACGTTACGGTGAATTATTTTTTTCTTACCGTGAATTCTTTTCTCTTAAACATTTGAATTGACGTTTGTTTATTCGAGTTTGCATTATAAATGAATAAGAATAAATGTTTCGAAGTCTAAAAAAGCCGATTTGGAATAAAAAATATATAATTTTTTAAAAAGAAATAAAAGTGAAATGTGATAGATTTACCGACAATTTTACCATGTGAGTACTACTCATATGGTAAATTTATCATATGAACACTACTCACTTGATAAAATCGTCGGTGAATCTGTCACACTTCGCTTTCATTTATTTTTTTTAAATTATATATTTCTTATTCCAAATCGGCTTTTTTAGACTTTGAAGCATTTATTTTATTCATTTATAATGCAAACTCGAATAAACAAACGTCAATTCAAATGTTTAAGAAAAAAGAATTCACGGTAAGAAAAAAATAATTCACCGTAACGTTCCAATTCGGTTTTTTCGTCAAACCGAATTCAGCTTAAGTTACCACCAATTCTTATCGCTTACTCCCAATTCTTTTTTTTTACTGGGCGGATACAATTTCTATCAAAATTAATAAAAAAAATTTAATCATTTGATATCATATTTTATGATAAAAATTTTATCAATTTCTATCCACTTAAGAATCCAATAATTTCCTATCAAAGAAATAAGATTGAAAATCTATCAATTTTTATCCGTAAATAAATCTAATAATTCCTTATCAAAGGTTTTGATAAAAGTTGTATCCAATTCTATCCTCCGAAAAATCTAATAATTTTCTATCAAAGGGTTTGTATTGAGAATGTATCTAATTCTATTCGCAGATAAATCTATTAACCTCTATCAAAGGTTTTGATAAAAGTTCTATCAAATTCTATCCTCCGAAATAATAATAAATAAAATTTTATTAATTTTGAGGTTCTGATAAAAGTGAATATCATGAAATGAAGAGTGAAACAGATTTTCCAAATGTTTAATAGGAATTATTTCAAAAAAAAGTAAGAATGTTTTGCACAGAAAATTGGAAATTTTTCTTTATTTAATAATGGACTTTTCACCATATTAGTAGGAAATATATCCAAATGACAGTTTAGCTCTGACAGTCAGAGAGTCAAGACGTGTTTTGATTTGCTCCGTTGTGAGTGTGTGCCTATTGTGAGGATTACGTTTATATGAATTTTAGTTTCTAAAGTGAAAAGTTATTACATTGCAATAATGACCACTATCGATGACTTAAAAGAACTTATGCTCTCGGTACAGAGTGATGTTAAATCGTCAAATAACAAAATGGACAATTTATCGGAAGAGGTGAAATTGTTGAAAAACTCACAGGGAAAATTAATGGAGGAACTCAAGACTTGTAAATCTAAATATCTAGTATTAGAAAAGAAGTCTGCTCGTTTTGGTCAACAGATTTCATCTATTGAAAAAAAATTGGAGATCATGGACATCAAGGATAGATCTAGGAACATTATAGCTGAAAAAACAAATTTAATAAAATCAGTGCAAATGATCCTTGAGAAGGCATCTATTACCATCCCAGATGAACATTATGAAGCGATTTATCCTTTGGGGAAAAAAGATGATCCAAGGCCGATCTTAATTAAATTCTCGAGTTCTAAATATAGAGAATGTATATTTCAAAATGCTAAGAATTTACGTTCACTTAATGTTTTCTTTTCAACTGATTATACCCCGGAACAACAACAAACAAGGAAAGAGCTGAAACAGTTCCAAGCTGTTTTGAACGAGCAAGGAAAATCAAGGTATATCAGAGTAACTCGTCTATTCATGGAAGAAAAATATTACGATTTACCTGAAATTCAGAAGTTATTGTCAACCAATTCTTACAGTTCTGTAGGAAGCCGGAAAAGATTGAGACAAAGGAAAAATAATATTAGTGGACAAAAAAAAATCAAGGCTATTGTAAAGGATGCAACTATTAAGCATTTTCAACAAAAGACGACGATGGAGATGGGAAATACTCCGAACCTGAAGGAAAAAGAGAAGCAGTCCAACTCCGCCCCATTCTTCCCGGATCATATTCTGGAATGCAAGAGGATTAAATAATTATGAGGACATCATCGAGCACACTTCATATGGGGATGTAATCTGCCTTTATGAAACCTGGGAAACACTCGATACAGTACGAGGGCGAGCATTGCTAAATCCTGATCTACATATTATCTCCAGTTTTGCTGCCAAGGACTGTGCCAAAGGTCATGGAAAAGGAGGGCTCCTAGTTGTTGTAAATAAAAATAAATTTAAGGTAGAGTTAATTAGTTTGGATGAGGATTGTATCTTTTTTAAATTGTGATAATTTAATTAATTAAATTAATTGTGATAAGTGATAAGGACTTGATAATAGTGAATTTAATTTATAATAATCCAATCTCAGATATAGACAAATTTTTAAATAATATTAAGCAAAAAATTTATAATATAACTTTGAATTTTCCGAAAGTTCCATTAATAGTAGGTGGGGACTTTAATTGTAAAATTGGGGATTTAAATAACTTGGATGAAGAATGTTTTTCTTATACTAATTTTATGGGAGAAAGATATAGTCTTGACATAACTACAGATAAACGTGTCAAATTAGTCACGGAATGTTTTGAAGAGCTTTGTGTGGGTCAGCTCATTTAGCTTGGGTATAATTGATAATTTTAAAGTATTGAATATATATTCAGGGAATACAGAAAAGGCCGATTCATTCAAAAATAATATTCAATATCCTCATAACTCTGAATTGGAAATGAAGTCAATTAATGCTCTCAATCTTAATCTAATAAATGCTATCAAAATAGCGGCATATGCGGACGATATAGCTGTCCCTGCTGACTCCTTGGTGGACATGAGAAAAATCCTTTTATACTTGGAAGAATACTGCATTTTGAATAAACTTGATGTTAACTTAAAAAAAACAAAAATAGTAGTATTTAGAAAAGGAAGTCACTGTCATAACAAAAAATTACCATCTTTTGAGTATGGAAAAAGCGAGGTAGAAATTGTTAAAAATTATGAGTATTTGGGAGTAGTATTTTCACAATCCTTGCTTTTTTTAAATGCAAAAGATGAAATTGTAAAGAAATCAAATCTGGCGGTAAATTATTATACAGTATCATTAATTTCAAAAATGAAACTGGATTTTTTTGATCCAGTGTCACATCTTTATATGAGTCTTGTTTCCAATGTTCCTTTGTATGCAGCACTAATTTGGAGCTTAAGATATCTTGATTCAATCGAGAAAATCCAGACTAATTTTTTTAAAAGAATTTTGAATGTTCCGTTTAATACGCCTGGCTATGCGGTTAGATTAGAGACCGGAAGTAATCATCTGTCATGTGAAGTATTTAAGTTAATTTTAAACTGTATTGAAAAAGTTTTGAGCATGACAGATGAAAGATACCCGAAAAAGTGTCTTGCCAGGCTGATATAGTCAAAGATTTTTTTTGTGGAGATAGGAGAGGAAGAAGAATGGGAGAATATTTCAGTGCAGTCTATAAAAAAAATAAAAACAAAAAATTGATAAATAATTATAAAATTAGAATGAGAGAAATTGATTTAAAAATGGCCCATGATTCTTCCTCACTCCCCCTTTATCCGCAATTGACTTCTGATCTTATAGAAGGACCCCAGAAATACCTCTCATTAAGGGACATTCCTCTTACACATGGTAGACTGATTGCACAGCTACGATTATTTAATATATATCAACCCATAATTAAAATGGAAGGAAGCTCCGTTAACTTTAGTCATAATGATTACTGTGATTTTTGCTGCCAGAGATTATATGAGTATGATAATTTATTATATCACGTTTTGGTAAAATGTTCAAGGTTTTCGTTGATTAGACAGAGTATAAGTGAAAAATCACAAACGTGTGACATAAGAAATGACTGTATGGATGCATTGAATAAAAACTTTGTGAAAAAGGTAGTGGTTTTCGTTAATGAAGCGTTAAGCACAAAGGTAACTCCTCGATGACAAAAAAATTTCCTATATATCAAATACGAATAAATTATATAAGGAATTACTTCCAAACAGAGAAAATTACTTTTTCTATAGAATTAACAAATAACTGTTTATATAAACTTATATGTTTACATATGAAATTGAAAGATTTTAAGTATATAAAATGAAAAAAATTGGCAGAAATTTTTTAAAATTAACTAGATTTTTCTTAAATTTTTGTAGGTTAACTGCTCTTATTTCTTTAAAAATTGATATTTTTATATTTTCTTTTATGGGTTCTCTTCTTTAAGATGGTTCAAAGTTCGTATTTCTACCATAAAAATAAAAAAAATTATTGGATTTGCTTCAACCGTTTGAAAGTTATAGCATTTTTAAACAATAAAATTGAGCAGCCAAAATTGTTTCGTTGAGAAAAAGTAGATCTAGATAGTTAAGGTAATCCACTTGCAGCAGTCACTTCCAAAAATTAATTTCAATAAAAAACTTAAAAAGTTTAGAGTAACTTGCTTGCAGTGTTGGGTAGTAACTAGTTATTAGTAACTAAGTTACTGAAAAAGTTACTTTACTTGTAACTTATTCGTATTTCAAAAAAAGCTCGCAAAGTGATAGCAAAAGAACATGGCCTCTGCGCTCCCCTGTTGAAAATTCCTATGTGAGAACACATATGGGATCCCATCCAGGATCTCTTGTGAGTTCTTATGTGGGTTCCCATACAGGTTCACACATAAGATCCTGTATGAAAAGGTTCCTGGGATGAACTTGCGTGAGAGCTCGCGCATGATCTTATGTCTCTGTAAAAGCAATAACACAGGATCCCATGAGGTTTCCTGTGTAGGTTCCTATATGAACAACACGATAAATAGGAACACACATGGGATCTTATCCGAGATCTTGTATGAGTTCTTACATAGGTTCTCACATATAAGAAGATTAATAGGTAGATTTTATATAAAATCTTATTAAGCTGCTATTAATCTTCTTATATGTGAGAACCTATGTAAGAACTCATACAAGATCTCGGATAAGATCCCATGTGTGTTCCTATTTATCGTGTTGTTCATATAGGAACCTACACAGGAAACCTCATGGGATCCTGTGTTATTGCTTTTACAGAGACATAAGATCATGCGCGAGCTCTCACGCAAGTTCATCCCAGGAACCTTTTCATACAGGATCTTATGTGTGAACCTGTATGGGAACCCACATAAGAACTCACAAGAGATCCTGGATGGGATCCCATATGTGTTCTCACATAGGAATTTTCAACAGGGTCGCATGCTGCGCATTGTACCGACTGTTTACATTCTGTTTTTCATGTGCTCGTGTTCCATCGTATTCGTATGGTTTACTGTTGCAATATAGGGGATTTACCCATTTACCTGCATAATTTAAACAGTGTACAAGATATTTTAAAATAAGATTTTAATTAATTAATTTATTTGTATTCAGAAGTTTTATATAGGCTTTTATTTAAGAGTTTATAAAAATAATTTTTAGCAACCCCGTGTCGAAATTGTACCTTATTAATTGATTTTTAAATTAATTCTTACAATGGCAAACAAAATCCATGATTATAAAAACTAATTTTCTAATAATGATAATATTTAAAAAATTTTTATAAATAAATACTTGGATAGGTTAAACATGGATATGCGTTAAAGAATTAGAAGCAGCTATAGCGAAAGAAAAAAAAAGAAAAGAAAAACCTCTTTTGGAAAACTGGACTTCCGATTCAAAGCTAGTTACTCAAAAAATATTGGATAAAAAAATTATGGATTATGTAATAGAAGTGTTGTAGAAAAATTATCTTTTAAAGACCTAGTGTTACTTGGATTACCAGGAAATTTGAAAATTTTTACACGTAAAACTTTAGGGGAAGAATAGATGATGCTTTTATTAAAATGAATACAAATCTATGTGAAGAACTTGAATAAATACATGTATTACAATTATATTTCACATTTTAATTTGATTCCCATTTGATAAAAAAATTGAATTTCGATAAGACAAATTTTAAAATAATTTTTCAGTAACTTGAAATGTAACTTTAAGTTACTTTGTAAGTAACTGTAACAGTAACTAGTTACTTTTTTTCATAAAGTAACTTAAATGTAACCAGTTACTTAAAAGATAGTAACTTACCCAACACTGCTTGCTTGTTTCATAAAAAAATTAAAAAATTTTTTTTTGCCTGTCTACTGAATACATCGTTAGCCTCTATACATACACGTGCTCTTGTTGGTGTTAGTAGTACTTCCCCGAATCTCAGAATGCATTATCCTTAAAATTAATCATTTTTTTTATATCTCTTAAACGAAACGGTAAATGTTATTGATTCTCTTTATTTTAAATTCTATAAATATTTATTTATAACATATACTAGTTTAAAAAAAATCTATAGAAAACTAAGAAACTTTGAACTTAAAATATCTCGTTTTAAAAATGGTCAATTATTTTTAAATTTTCGGAATATGTAGATCTCGATATTAACTGTTAACATATTAAATTTTATCGAATTCCAAGAAAAGAGCGATCGCGCGTGTACTACTTTAAGGGAAGAGTCTGGTCCATGAGGTCGAAAAAATCAACTTTTTTTATTGTTTAAAAATATTCCTAAACATGTGCAGAATGCTCCTCTATGTAATTGTTTTAACAAATTCGAACTACAAATATAGTTATAAGCGGTGCGCTTAAAGTACAGCATCCCAATTGGAAATTATCTACTGTCGCATTACAGCACCAATATTAATCAGTCTGGCACAGAACTAACAGACGGACTTAAAAACATCATACTTAACATATTATATGTATAACTATATGTTAAGGGGGGAACACCAGTTGTAACTTTCGAAAAATCGATTTTTTTTGTGAATTTTCTTAAAGTATACATATTTAGAAATGTGTCTGTAAATTTCAAAGTTGATCCGGTGAAAAATAAATGAGATATACAGAACACTGTAGCGGCGCGTCCCGTGGCTTCATACAAGGTGGCCAGCCATACCTGACCCTAACGACAGATGGCAGCAAATTGGCATTTTAGAATCGGCAACCACTACGGAAGAGTTATTATATGGTCCAGGAATCGATGACTCTTTGTAACTTGGAAACAAAATTTCTTCTGAACAAAAAAAAGTAAGTTGAAACTTTGAATGCGTTTTTCTCAAAATGACATTTTCCAAGTCGGTGACCACGATTACTCGAATACCATTAAACCGATTTATTTAAAATTTAGTGTGCTTCATTTACACATATAAGTCTAGTTCGTGATCGAAGGATTTTTTTTTATGCAAAACTTTTTTTTATATAGCTGAAAATCGACCGTATTTTTTAACGAAAATCATACTTTTGACTTTGACAGGTCGCCATTTTGTCAAATTTTTTTTTTTTTAAATCCTTCGATCACGAACTAGATAATCTTATAATAAATGTAAATCAATTTCATTTTTGTATTTCAGACGAAGTATACTTGCAGAATGCTGGTCACCGCAATTCGCCTTTTTTCTTAAGGCGCCACTTCAATTGCTCATATCTCCAAAAGTTTTTGTTAAAAAAATTTTTTTTTCTTTTAAATTACAGCTTTTTACATGTACTTTTAACTAATAAATAGTATTCTTTAAAAAGATTCATTGTTCTTTTGGAAAATATTCTTGTAAAAAGCATTATTTGTTGAGTTACAACTGGTGTTCCCCCCTTAACTCATCGAATTATCAATCAATTTACTTCATTAAGAGCTTAAATTAAAGATAATTAAATTTATAACCCGAATATTTATGAATTTTATTTTATAAAAAAAGTTAAAGCAAAATAAGTGACAAAATTTTTCAACCACTTTTTTTCTTTTCCTCGAAATTTTTACAAAATTTTTTTTTTTGCAAATTAAGGTTCATCCACAATTTACGATTATATTTTAACCAAAAATTCTTGAGATTTTTGTTTTAGACGATTTTTATCAGAAGAAACCCTCGCCTGGACCAGACTCCCCCCTTAAATACGCTTGGAAGGCCAAATATTTTAACTTATTCTAAAAGTCAAATTTCAAGCCAAATAAAAAAAATCCATTAGAAAATCTCTTTTAGGGTCCAAGATATCTTGAATTGATTTTATATTATTTTTCACTTCTTTTGTTATCGCTTGTGGTTGTGTCCCTAAAAATTTATTGCGTAGCCCTAGATGTTAAGGATAACTACTGCGAACGATAGTAAAATATGCTTGACGATCATTTCCAAAAGCGGACATTGCAATTACATACTTTCAGCTTACTTGGAAAATGATTTACAATACAAGGGATGAATCAAATAAAATGAAAAATAGTAGAAGGGTTAAAAAGAATAAACGTGATATTTAATATAGATAACTATAACACTTTTTTTAGGATACGAACTGGATTAGTTATATAAGCGATATACAAACTATTATCGACGTAATTTACTCCCCAATTGAGAGTATATGCTGGGCTGGAGGTCGTAGAATTATATCAATCAATACTGAACTGTGGGACACTACAACAACTTGTTTCTGGATTACATCAATATTTCTCTCTTTAATTAAGTAAGTTGTTTGACATATGTTACTTTACATATTTTTCTAATTCGCTCTGTTAACCGAAGTTAATAAGCGAGATTTTAATTACAGAACATCAAAGTTTTTCAAAAATATTTACCTATGAAGAGAATATTAAAAACATATTCGACTAAATTTTTTTTTGCTGCACATACAGAACAGTCGAAAATTATTCATACGGCTAACGCCCGACAATTACTATCCCAAAACACACCCGTTTTTAAGGTGTGTGGTAAATGTTAATGTATTTCTTTTACAGTGGGCGCTGTGTCCGCAGGTATATTATAATTATCAATTCTCCAAGTTAGGTAAAAAATAATAACTTCACTTTTTAACGATCAACACGAGTTTACGGTATATGTTAAAAAGTGAAGTTTTCATTTTACTTGTCTTACAATTAGAGGATTGATAAAAGATAAATTCATTTCTTGACATCTTATCTTCAGTTTATGTTCATAATTTGCAAATTTTAATTTATCTTTTTCAGGTCTGTTTATCACATAATCAAGTTGAACAAATATAAACAATGTTTAAATGATAAATCCAGTAATAGGTGTGTATAATTTTTTACTTTGAATAATATACCTAATAAAAAAGCGATAAATTAAGAAGAAATGAAAAGTTAGTAAGAAAAAATGTTTTCTGAAACCGTTTTTAACTGCTTAAAAACTATATAATACGTGTACGAAATTATATAATCTTTGAAGTTTGATATAGTTTTTGTTTTTAATAAACCATAATATTTATTTATATTTTTTGAAAATATGATATATGATAAATATGTACACGAAAAAACTTTGTTTAAGAATCATTCCTGAATTTGTTCAGGAACTGAGGATATGATAAAAATTCTGCAAAACTTACTGAAAATTACAAAAATTATTCAAGAAAATACATGTATTTTTATTATGATATTGAAAGACTTGTTGTTAATGCCGCGATCGGAATGTCTCAGTCACTGGGCTCTGAAAGATTCTTGAACTGTTTTAGAATACGCAGTACAGTAGCCAAGCGCGAGTCAGGGATTGGTTGCGTCAAATATGTTTCCAATGTATATAATACCATAAGCTGCTAAGGTAGCTGAGAGACTTAAAGGGGAAATTTTTGAGTTTCGAGGACGTGGGTTCGAGTACTCATACAGTAAATTTTTTTTCTCGCAAACGTAAAAAATTATTCTAAAACGAGTTCAAGAATTTCTGTATTAAGTTTAGTCAGTTGTCTTGAAATTCTCTGTAATTCTTATATAAATACCGCTTAAAATTTTTCAAGGAAATATTAATAAGATTACTTAAATTATTCTCATATCCTTAGTTCCTGAACAAATTTAGGAATAATTCTTGAACAAAGTTTTTCCGTGTATATATAATACTTTAATGTGCACGTGGGCGTATCTCTTGAACTTTTAAACTTTATTTTATCATTCATTATGATACCTTATAGATTGGAAATATACTTTAGCAATACCCGGGTCACATAGTACCTATAAACTTGTAGCAGTATTGTCTCAATATTCTAATATTGCAGCCACATTGCAGAAATAATCACAATATGGAGGCAATGTTGGTAATATTGCTGAAATTTTAGATGCTGTGGTGATAAAAACAAAAACTTCATCAAACAATTTCTGAATCCAAGTAAAACAACATCTTACTACAATAATCTTTAGACTTTGAGAATACCCAAGTAGAAATGTGCCACTGGCATAGTACTGACCCAACACTGCCAGTCAGTATAATAGTACTGACTGCCGTACTGGGCCAGTAGTGGACCAACCCTGGCTGGTAACGCTGTCCAGTACTGATTTTGTCCCGCTCACCAGTACTAACGTAGTACTGGAATAATACTGGCATAATACTGGCAAAGTACTCATCCGGACTTAAAATCTCACTTTTTTACAAAATGCTAAAACACGCTTTCCAATGCAAATTTCATCCTTATTAGCTTATTACTCCCATTTTTACCACGAACAGGTAATGTGAAGCCAATAATAGTTAATGTTATTTAGAATATATAAAATATTATTAACAATAAATAATTAAAATAATAATTATCATTTATATTAATTAAATTATTTTATTTTTAATAAATTATTTTACAAAAAATAATTTGTGTTGTAAATTTTTTTATTTTTTTAAATTCATAATATTTAATTTTTTTTACTTTGCACTTATACTTAATTTAATAATTATTTAATAATTGATATTACACATGAACAAATATTGTACTTATAACACTTAAAACTAAGAACGAAAAATCTCGCACGCATGGGGGATCGAACCCTAAACCCTTAGAACGCAAGTCAGATACGCATACCGCACAGCCGCGCTGGCTTGAAATGCTGACTTGAAGTAGTTCACCTAATACAAAAGTTTTGATTTCAAAGTTTGTATTATCTATTGATCACGAAAATAAAATGAATTTATTCTTAAATTTTTTAAACTCACAAAATTTTTTCAATTTTTACAAAGATTTAATGAAATAAAACTGGATATCAATTTCAGTTAAATATTTTTAATAAATTATTTTTACCGTAAATAATATTAAAACAGACAAAAATGATTGATGAATTACATAATTAAAAATAAGTTAATAAAAGACGACTGTAAAATATGAATGGTAAAAAAAATTTTAAATTTAATATTTAATTATTAATAATATTTAAAAATTACAGTGAAAAAATTACATTTGCTTTATTTTTAAAACTATTAGAAAAAAATTCTCAACTTATTGTTATTGTATGCATGATAAATAACTTAATGCACATATTTCAATGAGTACTAAAATAACTAAAAAAACATAAATATATTTTATATAGGTATATAATAATACATTACAATTACATCCAAAATTTTGAGGGAAAGTATTCGAAAGAAATTAATATACATTTTTTTAAATAAAAAATCATCGTTTTCTACCTATTGGAATAATTTAAAGACTTTTTCACTTAATGTTTTTTATCACCGACATAGTACTGATTCGGTGTGAATGACAGTGTACTGCCAGTACTGGTTTTAATATTTTTTTACCTCCGACATAGTACTGATTCGGTGTATTAGTCAGTACACTGCCAGTACTGAAAGTCAATACCGACAGCCAGTATTGGATCAGTACCATGCCGGTGTTTAATTACGGCGAGCTACAGATATTTCTACTTGGGTATATTTGCACAAACTAATTTTCCTAAAACGTATATTGTATACATCTATTAAAATAATTTTTGTTCAGGATACAGAGGAATAAAATAGTAGTGCAGCAGCGATATGAATTACTTACTTGCATCAGATTAGTTTTGGACTTTAGTTACGCTGTGAGTTACCTTCCCAATGGTACACTTTATGGTGGAAAACTAAAGACTTGGCATGTAGGTGCATTAGGAACATTGTCTTCGCTAATTGGTATTTATCAAGCATTAAATAAACGAAGTAATTCTTCTAAATCTGATTGATTTTTTGTATAATAATGATTACATGTAATGGTTTTAATTTTAATATACAAGTAGTTAGGTAACGAATTTTATCGTGTATTGTTAATAATGTCTTCTCTATTACTAGTTATTCATTTATAAGTAATACAAGATTTCTTAAATACAAAAATAAATTTTTTTAATATTTAATTCATGGTGTATTTTTCTTGCTATTTACACATTTGTAAACTTCATAGGTTACCTTAAAAATTACAATTGACTTGACGGGTTGGAAAACTTGGCCCCAGAATACGGCAATACCGTTTTCCGGGAGTCGACCGTTCAGCGCGACCTCCGCAGGAAAATGTAGAGTTAAATCGTTTCGTTTGCTACAACGCAATTACACGTTTGACTTGAAAGCAGTTTGAATAAATACATATGATCTTTAAGAAAATGTTTATAAAATGTAAAGGCAATTGGTATTTTCTTGTTGTGTATACATATTATTTGTGTAGTACAATAAAATCTTTGTTTCTTGTCATATGATATCACTTGTCAGAAGGCAATTGTATGCTCCATGGAACAGGGATTTTAAATAGAGTGAAGACGTTATGTATTCGAAAATAACTATTGCACTAAAACCAAGATTTATTATCACTTGCTTATAGTACTTGCTAATGACAATTAATAAACCCTACTGGAAGTGAAGACATAGAAACAGATAGAAAAAAGGAGATAGGAAAAGATAAAAAGGTATACTGTTTTGGAGATGCAGAATGTACACTTGAAAGATACCCTACCGAAAGAGTGGTACTGGAATAGTACTGAATTGGACTTGGCTTGAGTTCCACTTCAGTACCACTACCTGATAACCCATAAGAAGACATTTTGAAAGTACTTTAACAATAGTTTTAAAGGTATATAAGATCAACAAACCGTCTCTCACGATATACGTGTAAAACAGCAAAAAAAAAACATAATAGTTTGTAGAAAATTTCTGTTAAGTTTGGAAATTATATTGCATAATCCCTCCTTGAACGATAGACCCCTATGTCCTTTGTTGAAGGATTAAAATTTTAACCCGAGTTTTATTGCTTAAAAAATTTATAATTTTAATAACTCAACTTTAAAAAATATATATTGAGATTCGTTAATATTTCCAGATTATGAATATCTAAAATTTATCAAAAAATAATTACATTTAAAACAGTTATAATTTATCTCGTATACCTTAAGTTTGACAAAAAAATGGACAACATTTTTGAATGTAGCTGCCAAAGGACATATCATATGCATACACTGAGAAAAAAATGCTATTGAATCTATAGCACGCATATTCACATACGTTCAAAAGCAAATATAATTAACTTAATGCAATATGTAGTTCATTTTATAGCACTGCTACTGAACCAAAGAATACAGTTTCTGATTCAATAGCAGTGCTGTAAAATGAACTACATATCGCATCAAGTTAATAGCAGCTGCCTTTGAACGCATATGAATATACATGCTATAAATTCAATAGCATTTTTTTCTCAGTGTAATAATGTATGAAAATAATATAAATCCAGGAAAAACAAATATAATATTGAAATAAATATAAAGTATTAGTTTAAACATATTGAAAAAGCTAGTCGCTTTTCACTTTTATGAGGGTATTAACGGTAACTCGATCATTTCGCAGGTAAATTTCCCAGTTCCATTTCAGTACCAAAATGCACCAAATTAGTACTGAGTTGGTACTGAGCCCTCAGTTCCAATTTTCCAGTACCACCCTTCCGGCAGGGTATAGAATTTTTATATCTCTTTTTATTTCTATTTTTATATCTCTTTGCTTATCTTTTTTAAGGAACAGGAAGAGATAGAAAAAGAGGAATAGAAAGAGATAGAAATGTTAAAAATTGTTAATTATTGCAATAATAAATTCTAAAAATGTTATATTTTGTTCTAGTGTAACGTAAATGATGAGAATTAAACAAAAAAAAAGTTTTTTAAAATTATTCTTTGAATTATCATCTTGCAACTCGCGGGCTAACTATGGTAGGACTCGACCCACGACCATGTTTAGTGTGCATAGTGTAAAGTATGTATTTTGTGTATATCTCAAGCATACTGGGAGCGCGCCTATGAAGATTTCTTGAAAAGTGTTATTCATAAAGAATATGTTTAATATATACCATATATATCAATACAAAAAAGTAGTGTTTTAACTATTGCCTTAAAGAAGTTACGTGTTAAAAAATAACTATTGCACTAAAACCAAGATTTACTATCACTTTCTAATAGTGCTTGCTTCTGACAATGAATAAAATTATATTGAAAGGAAACCGAGAGAATAGAGGGATCTCGTGCTCATAGTTAATTGCATTTGGTAGCATCTGAAGTGCTAAACTTATGTATACTATACACATTCATACATATTATAGATTAGACATCTTTTGTTTCCAATTTTGAAAATAGAAAAATTTTCGTAAATAGACAATGTTATTTTTTACATTCAACTTGGATTTAGAATTGCTGAAGAAAAAAGTTATTTGAATTTTTCTAAGTTAAATTCATTTCATTAAGAAGTGAGATCGTAAACTTTGTAGAGGTCTTGTAGTTGTCTTGGGCGTATTACTGTATTTCAAGTTAGAAAATATTGCGAAAGAAATGTCTATTTAAGAAGATCTGAAGAAGTGTGAAGAAGACATTCAAAAGACGTCTTTTAGTTGACTCTTAGGTTATGTGGGGATGACCGCTCTTGTTCTGGTCGACCCACTAAAAACCACACCCTTTTTGAGACTTTAACTCCACTGGCGGAACTGCTATTAAGCTTTATACATCGTCTGTCGTCCTCCTTCGTCCTCATTACAGTTCTAATAAAGGACTCGACGCTCGAGAAGTACCCAGATAGCACGCAAGTTTGCTGCCAACTTGCAGCCGACTTGCGTTGCAAGTTTTGCAAGTTTGCACTGCAAGCTTGCTGCAAGTTTGCTGCAAGCTTGCAATGTCCCAACGTAGCTTGCAAAGCAAGTTTGCAGCAAGTCTGCTGCAAGTTTGCTGCAAGTTTGCAAATACTACATTATATTTTGCAAAAAACTATATTTTAAATAAACAAAAAAACAATGCGCAGTTCAATTCTATAGCACATAGGGCTGCGCAGTAAATTTTTTTTACCTCCCAGCTATAGTGCTAAATAAATAGTAAAGGGAATTTGTATCTTAAATTAAATTAAAACTTAATTAATTAATACGTTAAATAATAAATTAATAATCTTCCAATGCAAGTTTGCAGCAAACTTGCAGCAAACTTGCAGCAGACTTGCAGCAGACTTGCTGCAAACTTGCTGCAAACTTGCTTTGCAAGCTACGTTGGGACATTGCAAGCTTGCAGCAAACTTGCAGCAAGCTTGCAGTGCAAACTTGCAAAACTTGCAACGCAAGTCGGCAGCAAACTTGCGTGCTATCTGGGTAGCTCCGATACATAAACACTATAATATTTTAGTAAAATGTTCTTAAATTCTGCACGGAAAAAACAAACTAACTATTTTAGCACCAAACTGCTTTATCCTTTATTAGTATGCAATTTCGTTTACCTATTAGAGTATGAAATAATGCTTTTTTAGTTTAAAGTAAGTCCATACTAAATAAGTATAATGGTTATACTCGTATAGTAATAGTGACGTACTATAAAAGCATAAAATTGATGCCCGCGAAGTACGACATATAGTCTACCTAAAATAGCAAGAGCTTCTTCCTTTTTGGTGTATAAATTCTTGCAACCTGCGTTTTGGCCACGCCTCCCTCCCTTTCCAACCATTGATATATCGATATAGGCCAAAACGCAGGTTGCAAGAATTTATACACCAAAAAGGAAGAAGCTCTTGCTATTTTAGGAAGACTATATGTCGTACTTCGCGGGCATCAATTTTATACTTTTAAAGAACGTCACTATTACTATAAGAGTATAATCATTATACTTATTTAGTATGGACTTACTTTAAACTAAAAAAGCATTATTTCACACTTTAATAGGTAAACGAAATTGCATACTAATAAAGGATAAAGCAGTTTGGTGCTAAAATAGTTAGTTTGTTTTTTCCGTGTGTATGTCATTAATTATTTGTTGAAAATCAAGTAATTTATGTTTTGATCAAAATGTAATATTCAATATTAATAAGTGTAAAATTTAAAGTTAATTTAACAAAAATTTAAAAAGATAGAAATATTTAAAAGATACCCAGATAGCAAAATGTCAGCAATGTTCCAGGTATATACCTCGCAACGTGCCGCGATGTGATCCGCATGAGTGTTCTCACTAAATTAGACAGATGCGATGCATGATTGTTATCTGTGTATGTTTAAAATTTACTATCAACAATGCCGCTCATAGGTAAGCGTAAATTGCTCTTCGATAAACAAACGTTAGAAGAAGGTAGTGGACTACTTTTAGTATGCTATTGATTCAGTAAACCCGAATAGACGGTTTTTTTGGAAAGTGTAGAAAAGAAATGTGAGAATAAGATATCCAAAGATGACTAAATAAAATAGAACAGAATTAATACAAAACAATGATACATTTATTCAATCCCCAAAAAGGTTTACTATAGATTCCCTAATGTAAATCTTTGTATAAAAATGATTTACAAAATTATTATAAATTAATGTTCCAAAAATAAAATACTCAAAAACGTTTATTATATACCGAGTCTCGTTCTCATGATTACTTGGTAGTATCGCTATTAAGTTCACGATGTCGCCACAAACTTCAGATAAAATCAAAAAGTTGGCAGTGCTGCTGCCCCGCCGCCTCCTCTCACCTATCTCGTCATAACGCTTTTTGTGCAAGCGAACGCCACATCTTCTAGAAGATGTATCTTAGTGTATTTTTTTGTTTTTTATTCAGGAGGATTTCCTGTGTGGAAAATGTACAAATTTCCAAACGAAATTTTTTTTATCTCGTTCGATTTTCTTTAGCCACTTTGTATCGGTTAAGGTAAAGAAAGAAAAAGATTCACTTAATTACAATTTTTCTAACTATGTTACATAATCGTGCCATGTCCGAAGTTACCCTATAAAATTATATTTCCTTAAATAAAACACATTTACGAAACATTATATAAATCTAGGTTGTTGAAATCAGTGTGAATTTTATGTCAATGAACAGTAGATCAAATTTTAAAAAAGAAGTAGCACTTTACATATATTCGCTTAAAAATAGGTTTTTTT